AAGGTACAGTCAGTCCCTTTGTAATAAGCTTAGACTGAGCTCAATCGATAAATTTGTTCCTTGGTTATAAATATTGAAATAAGAAGTCAGAAGAGTCCATTCCACCCAATGTTTCCCTAATATTTTTAAAAACAAAAAAAACAACAACAGATGTTTTCAAAAAGAATTCTTTGTGAACATTTTGTTCGACTATTCCTATACGGAAATCAGTTCATCTCTCCACGAAATACAATCCATATAGGAATCATCAGAGCAAAAATTGAATGAGGAATCAAATCAAGTCAGAAAATTGTTAATAGATGATTAAAATTTGAAATTCGGTGGAGAGAATAAATCTGGAGTAGAACTGTTTATTTCCCTTCAATTGTTGATCCAAAAAATGTTCTATCTTATGAAAAATGAATTAGTTAAATTGAATTGAAAACAAATTTCACCGGATGTAAAAACAGTCCTTGCTTATTTAAAAAAAAAATGAAATCTGCCTAAAAAAACTGGGCCAAGAAAAACTTTTGTTTGATTCCTAATGGGAAATCGAAGTTTTTAAAAAATACATAGAAATAAAAAAGGAAGTCAAGTTAGGAATTTTGAATAAATGGTGATAGTGCACATTCAGGTTTCTATCAGAAAAATAGTTCTCAATGGAATAAGTGTTGTAAAAAAATTCTCCATGAAATAAAAAATCAGTAGGAGCAGGAGGAATAGATTGATACAGACAGTGAATTGAAAAACTCCGCGCCAAGAACGTTGGTCCTGCTCCTACTGATTTTTTATTTCATGGAGAATTTTTTTAGAATACTTATTCAATTGAGAACTATTTTTCTGATCTTCCCAATCCTTGCCAGTCCTCTTAATTCTATGGGCCTATGAAATCCTCTCCTTTTTTCTTATATCCCGCCCGTAATGATTATAAAAATTACTCTGTCATTAAATAAATACCCAATTGGAGAATATGAAAATATGATAAATTGTCTCTCTATATTTTTCTACTTTTTTTTGTAAAAAAAAATGGACTGCCCGAGACTCGAACTCTGGACGTGTTCCCTTATGGCCACCCAGCATCTATGAACCACGCTCGATGATTCTTAACTTCGAAGATCGTCCAGAGTCCTACTGTCCCGCATAGCCAACCTTAACCCTAGTTTGGTCACCATAGGAGGGAAACGCTGCAGAAGGTCGATTTTTTTTTCTTACCATTGACTGGCTGAGCGGAAAAATCCTAAAAAAATGGAATGCGTCAATTCAAGTGTCTAGAAAATTATAATATTTAAAAAAATTATTTATATCCACAATTCCTGAAGAAAAAAAATTATTTCCAACAGACGGGCAATTTTTTCCCATGTTTAATGAAATTGCCCGTTGTGCGACGTTGCCGAAGTCTCGCTAAACGCGCCCGGGCAGTATACAGTGGATTCGGCAACGTTTGGGCCTAAATAACACGGCGGCGATTCCCTGCGGAGGTGATCAAAGTCGCAAGTTCTCATATGGTAACCAAACTAGGGTTAAACACTTACTAAAGTAGACTCTTGATAACTGTTCTCCCGTTAACTGTCGCTATTCCGGGAATTTCTCGGTTTCGAGTGTTTTCCGCGGAATGTAAACTTCCCCCACTCGCACGCCTCGATTCCTTGCAGTTTTCCCTAAACTCCGCCCCTAATCGTGTCACGCGCTCAGTTGTTTCTATCTCCATAAACTAAGCGAGAAGAACACGAATAAAATAAACCCCCTCTCCACATGCATATTACCACTAGTCGCTTCACATTTCGGGGCATCGGTGCGCGAAGTGGGGCCGTTTTTAAGTGTCGCTTTGGCGGAACTGCGACCGATATTGTTCGCGACGAGCGACAGTTACGGGAGTCTACTGTAGTGCTCCTTTAAAACCGAGTTCATATCTTTCGCAATCTTTTTAATATGACATAACCAATTAGACTAAGACTTAGGGGGGAAGGTGGGTGATACCAATACGCATTGGCCATTGGCGGGGGGGGGGGGNTACGCATGCACCTAGAAGTTTCAAATAAATTTCATAAAATAGAATAGGTGAAAAAACCTCCTCAGAAGGGGGTGATTTCGCGAGAAACTTATTGGCAGTGTCTACACACGCGGTATACGGTAATTGCCATAGATCCAAGGTAACGTTCTACCATGCATCTAAGGTTGTTTTTCTCCATGGATCTTTGAAAAATTTCATTGACGGAAAGTTTTGCCATGCGTCTATGGTTTTTGCCATGCATCTATGGTGCTTTACCGACGAGGCTGAAACTGGCGAACGATTCTGGCGAATGATATGCACAACTTTCGGAGTGGATTGAACTTTTGCCGCTCCAAGGGGGGCGCGGGCGGGGGTCCACTGTTTTTATTCTCAATTTTCTAATCTGGGGGATGGGGGTTGCCGATGCTATCTAAGCAACCTCCATCCCTCCTTACGCATGCCCTATTGAAATAAAAAATGCAATTATTAAATTTCAAAAAAAAATCTCAAAAATTGACATTTCAGAAGGGGTTGGAGGGGGGACGCATGTATGCGGAGGGTTGAAATTTTCACGCAACAAGGGGAGGGGGTTGCAGAACCTATTCTAGCCACCATTATTCCTCCGTTTGCATGCGTTATTTAGATAAAAAATTAAATAGTTAAATTTTTTAACAAGAATTCCGAAAATTGTGATTTCACGAGTGGGTGGGGGGGC